TAAGCAGGCAGGGCCCCTCCAGTCAAGGGGGCTGAGATGTCTTTAAAGATCAAATGCACAAAAGCAAAAATAGATTCTAACATTTATGTATCTGGTGGATTGTTGTTTGTCCTTCTCTCAGCCTGGCTTATTTGTCAGATGTGTAAACGAGTCATTTTGTGTTTCAGGCTGTTGCTGTGAGTTCAGAAGGCCTGGAGTGTTTTGGAGGACAGGGCTTCATGGAAGATACATGCCTGCCTGTTTTGCTCCGGGATACCCAGGTAAAAAGCACTGGACTTTTTCATTTATTTTTTTACTCCTTCTCCTTACTCCTTCTTGCAGTCTGCTGCTATTTTAGAGAGAAGAAACAAGACGACAAATCTGCACCTTAGTTCCTTTGTTTCACTTTTTCTTCCTAAGCTTTGTTATCGCAGACTTCTGAGATCATGAAGGGGAAAAAGTAATTCAGGCCTCTGAATACTCAGAAAGTTCTTTCGTAAAGAAATTAAAAGCCTATTAAATGGAATATTCACCTTTGAGAACGTTAATAGTGGCATTCCACAACACTTGGAGATGTTCCAAGTTTGTTTGGAAAACAGATTCCCTTACAAAAGAAAATGTTAAAAAATAACATTTCTAAGGTCATTACTGAGAACTGATTTATTTTTAAGCAATTCTGGTGAGAAGGACACATTAAAGTGCAGAACATTCATTCACAGAAATGTGAAAACTATTGGGAGACTTTGGGACTGTTATCCTCGGTCAGCCCAATTTACTCCTCGAGGTTGTCCCTCTGGCATCTGCTTCTCCAGCTCTGCCTCTCTTCCCCCCCTCCCCAGGTACTACCCATCTGGGAGGGAACTACTAACATCCTGTCCCTGGATGTTCTGCGCTGCATTCTCAAGAGCCAAGGAAAAGCGCTGGATGTCTTTTTCTCCACTGCCCAGGTAAGCTTTCTGCAGACACCAATAAATGAGTTTGTCACACCACCGATAAATGTTAAAATTTGAGAGGCACCTAGTAGAAGCAGCAGGCTCAGTCAGCCTCATCATCTCCCATTGGTCTTTTAAGTAGCACAATCAGAATTTACTGCCACTTCTTACATCAGTTGTCCCATCCACTAATTTTGAGGTATGTAACCCTCAAAAGACCAATGCAGTCCTTAGCCAGAATAAAGATTGACCCTCTTCTCTGATTCACAGATGCTTGTATAACCAGTTCATTCTGAGGTGCCACTAAACTTATCCTTATTTTTTTGCAACAGTCTTAGGGGAATAGAGAATCCTATCTCCAGAGAAGTAGCAGTTGAGTAATTTCTTCTGCTAGCCCGAGGTGATTTGAGTTATTATGAGTGTTTGTTCTGTGACTTGAGGGTTTCCTTGCAGACCAAATTGGAGGCAGCTACCCGACAGTCCGAACTGCAAACCTCTGTGCAAATAGTTCAGAATAATCTGCAAAAACTCAAGCAGTTTGTTCCAAGAATGGACTCGAAGGGAGAAGCTGAGTGGCAACTTGCAGCGAGAGACTTTGCCTATTCTCTGGCATGGATCTATGAAGGTAATGAAGCAAGTGCCTCGAAATCTTTCGCTTGCTTACCATAAAATTAATTGTTGAATGTTGCTGAGAAAGACGTTGAATGATAATCCCCTTAAACAAGCCAGCAATCAGAGTTTGTGTGTAATGCTTTAAAAAGGGCAAAGATTCTCCAGTACAAAATGAAGCACAGAGAAAGGGGCTCTTTTTGGAAAGCTGGACCAGACAGAAAACCAAAACTGAACTCAAGCCTTAGAGCTGATGGAAACTAGAACATTAATTAGACCATGTACTTACTGCATGTAGTAAGTGCGGCACTGAAGATGGCAGTAGAGAGCAATGGGGAGAAATGTAAAAACACCAAAGTTAACAGTACAAAACTGAATCCATCAGGGAGACAGGGAAACCTACAGATTTTGAGCTTGGATTAAACTTAACATCAGTAAAATTAGTCTTGTCTTCTATAAATGCTAACAGTTAAATGCTGTTAACTTTTCTCCTAAAATCAAGTTTGGCCGTGGCTAAAAAACAAGCAGGAAGTCCTTTCTTTAAGAGAAAGAGGTTCCTGGAATGCTGCTAATGAGGATGAATAGGAAGACTTTAAAAGGAGCTTCCAAATTGTTGCCCACAATAAAGAGTTCTCCATGTGGTCAAGTGTTGAGACGATTCGGGTTACAGGGTAGATCCCATTAGATCTCATTAGGAAGCAAATCAGAAATGTTTAATTGACTATGCATGTATTCCCCGCAGGAGTCCTTCTGCTGGAGCACGCCGCCAGGGCTGGTGCATCAGCCACAAATATCTACGCTGCTCAGAGGTACCCATTAAATCTAATATCAAAGCAAAGACTGAGAAACCCAAAATATTGCACACATTAAGTTGGGAAACAATTTTGCTCTATGGCTGCAGCAGCTGCTCTGAAAATTGAGAAATAGCAGCTTGAATAGGACAAGCACCTGACATGAGGCCAGAGAACTGACTGGAGTTTGCAGAAGAAAAATGATGAGTTTCCCCCAGCTCTCCTGAACTTATGTGTGATTTTTAGTGGCACAAATTGGGTTACCCCTTGCCTCCCTCCCCTCCCCGACTTTTAAAAATTAAGGATTTGAGACGACAGCAGCTACCCTTTTGAACTTTAAAATCCGCTTCAAGCCTAAAATTATTCTACTGAAATTGGACAAACTTTAGGCGATATAATTTCAGGTTTGCAAATTAGGTAAAAAAAAAAAAAAAGGAATGTTCTGCCCCCTACCCCCACGTAACCCTCTGGTCTTTCTCTGCAAGGCCTTGCTATCACACAGGCAGCTTTCTAACTGGTTATGAGAGCCAAATTTCATTCCTGGATTCTGGAAATATACTCGGTGTCCAGGATGCGCCATCCCCTTTAAATCCTAGCAACAGGAAGCAATGTTGAGGTAGACGGGGTCTGAAACTGGGAAACGCCGTTTTAATTTGAAGACAGGCGGCTTTCTCCTTACCTTCCGCAGGTGGTGTCAGGAGGACGACTGCCTTGTGGACAGAGAAGAGAAGGCTGGTTCTTACAGCTCTAAAGCAGTCTCTCTGGATCAGTCTTTGGTTTACGATGGCTATTCTTCTCTGAGAGGAAAACTGTAGCAAAGAATTACGAACGTGAAAGAAGCCATCTGGGGAAGGACATGACCTGGAGGAGAAAGAAGTGTGTACGTGTGCGCCTTTAGGAGAGTCTCCAGTGTTCTTTTCAAAACAGGACTGGAAAGACAACATTCCAGAGGTCCATTCCAATTAAGCTCCAACTATCCCACGATTGCATTGATTTCTCACGCAAGCAAGATTCTGTTAAAAAAAATCATTAAACATAGGCTAGTGTCATCAATCAAGAAATTAAAATTTAAAATTTTTTTTAAATTTTTTTAAACAAGAATTACATAGAACTTTTTCTAAAGTTTTGTTTATGCATGATCGGTTATTTTTTTAAAAAAAGAATTTCTATGCCTCTGCATACTTTGAATGAGCACAAATTGCCAGCAGCACCTTCCTGGATTATGGGATGCTTCCGTCCCCAGATTCTGCCTCTGAAATATCTCTGAATTTTTCTCCTTTTAAACTCCGCATTTTATGCATTGCTGTTTTTGTTGCATTCTTTGCCTTTCACTCTTTTTTTTTTTTGAAACCTTTTAATTTTTTAATTTTAAAACATTTACGGGGCAAAATAAATGGCTGGATAAAATGTAACTGAAGACGATGAAAAAGGACATTGTAGCTTGAACATAAAACATGAGTAAATAAACATATGTTACAATTCTCAGAACAGTCAATGTGTACTATCTCAGTTGCGAGGGGGTTATTTGTTTTTATTATTGATTTAAAGCTTTAAACATTTGTTTCAAAACATTTAAAGGGCAAAAGAAAGAAGATGATGAAAACCAAAAAGACATTATGGGTGAAAATAAATCTGTGGATTAATTTTACATACCAATTGACATGTTTTCATTTTGTTTTTGTTTTTTTTAAATCAATGCATTTTATGCCCCAGTTTGTTTTTAAATCAATGCAACAAGCAACTGACGAGGGAAAAAAAAAATCTTTTTAGTAATAGTTTAAGGGGCAGGCAACTGAAGAGAAAAAACTCTTTTTAACAATAATTTAAGGAATAGCCAATTGAAGAAAATATATACTTTATGCTAATAATTTAAGCGATAGGGAACTGAAGAACAATAATTTAAGGGGCAGGCAAAGGTAGAGAAAAAAAAATCTCCTTTGAATATCTATTTAGTATGAATAATAAAATAAAGAAAAACAAGAGTTTTCTTGGCGATCGGAGCAGATCTACTGGAGACGCCCCGGGGCAATGTCGCGTCCTCCTTTGGGGAGCTCGCCCTGCGCTTGCGGGGGCGCTGCAGAGGTTGCCCGGCTCTCGCTTTTGCCCCCTTCTTTTGCCCCGGGCGGGGGTCAGTTGGGGGGGGTGTTCCTGTGGCCAGGAGCAACCGAGAGCCCCGAGGGCTGCCTGCCACCCGTTTGGCGTCCCGAGCCTCCGGCCAGCCCCTCTTGGGTCCAGCCCAGCCCCGCTCTGGCCGGTGGAAGAGCTGCGATCCGACCTGCTCTGCTTCCAACAGTTGCGCTTTTCCTACACGAGGAGAACCGCCCCTCCTGCCCCCGAGTCCGGGTGGGGAACGCCCTGCGAGGGCCGGGAGGGTTAGAGGGTTACGGGAAGCTGCGGAGCGCTGGAGGAGCCCTCTGCCAGGCTTGCAACCATGGAAGCGCCTCGGATCGGGAACCCCTACCTGGAAGACCCCTTGCTCCAGGCTTACCTGAGAGCCCACCTACCTGCCCAGGTGGGTCCCGAGGGAGGCGGGCGCAAGACGGGGGGCTCGACGGTCGGGGTTGCCAGGCTGGCTCGGCGCTTCTCCGCCTCTTTTGCTGCCCCCTTCCCTCCCACCCACCCACCGCTTTTGCTCCTGCGCCCCCGGCCCAGGTGCCTTAACCCGGTAGGGACTGGAGAGTGAAATGCGCACCCGGTTGGGAACCGCCGCGCGTCCGGGCGCGGGGGTGGTCTAGAAGACCTCGGAGGCCCCTTCCAGCCTGGTGGTTCTAATGACAGCACCAACGAGGGCGGAAAGCTCCAGTTCTCTGCACCTCAGATTTGGGAGAGGTCCCCATCTGTGCTTGCAGGGGCAAAAAGCTGGAAGAAGGGGGAAATGAAAATACTGGGGGTGGGGGCACAAAAGGTGCTCTTTCACCTTAGCAGCCAAAGGGCAGCTTCGTTTCTCAGCATCTTTTCCAAGCATAGCTTACACTTTTTTAATGCCAAAGATTAAGAACACAGAGTCTTCCTCCCTTCCTGACAGGGCCTTAAGCCATAAGAGAGACGGTGGCTGTTTCCATTAACCTCTTGTGTAGGAGTGCCCCCCCCCCTTCAATTTTCTTCAAAGGTGTGCTACTATCCAATTTTCTCCCCCCAACCAGCTGGTCTGCGGTTGAAAAATAGGACAGGGCAGTTTACACCATGCTGAGAAGGAAGGAAAACCAGCAGAAGAATATTAATCTGTAGAAAATGGTTGGGGACTTAATATGTTTGTGGGGTGGGGGGAGTAAACTGAGTTTCCATGAAAAGAACTCATCTCCTTTTGGAGTTGTGACGGCAGAGCTGGAGTCATGTTTTTCCTGAAGTAGTCAGGAAGAAGTTTTAAATTTCGGTGTTTCCCTGTTTTTAGAATACTATCATAACTTTGAACACTCACTGGTTCTCATTAAGTGAAGACTACCTTTAGAATGTACTCTGCTGTTTATGTGTAACTGCAACATCAACAAAAGGAGGGGGAATCTTTAAACAAACACCTTTTGCATATATTGCATAACGTTGCTTATCTGAGGGAGATGGGTGGTTAGGAAATAGGAGAATGGAATGGAATGATTACATGAGCATCCTGAATTCAGGAAACACAAATTTGGAAGAAGAAGAAGAAAAAACAGCAATGATCTGGTTCACTCATTAAATTATGGCAATAGAGTTGCAATATTGATACAATACCATTGCAAACAAATGATTATACAAAAACGTATTTCAACTTATAGCAAATACAAGTTAAGCAGCTGTGGTCCTTCTAATATTGCAGTTCACACCATTAGCCGTGGTGGCTGACGCGGTTTGGAGTTCTGACTCAGCCACATTGAGTGAGTGACATTTTCCACCACCTTTACCTAATAATAATAACAATAACAATGAGTTGGAAGGGACCTTGGAGGTCATCTAGTCCAACCCCCTGCTCAGGCAGGAAACCCTGTACCGTTTCAGACAAATGGTTGTCCAGTCTCTTCTTAAAAACTTCCAGTGTTGGAGCATCCACAGCTTCTGGAGGCAGGTTGTTTATACACTGCAACCCAACAATTGTTAAATCATTTATGTACAACAAATGTCACACACTTTGTAATATTCCACCATAAGTAAATCATTCATATCACCAGCCACTCAAAGGTTGGGTCACTTTGTCCAAGGCCTTCGTAACTTTGAACTGTTGTTAAACAAACAGTTATAAGTTAAGGACTACCTGTGCACTTAAAGTATTGACACTCATTTAAAGAATCTATATTTGTTTTTTCCTCCGGATGCCCAAAGACAAATCATGCATTAGATTCCCGCTCAGGCTAAAGACCTAAACAAACTCTGGGAGAATTTCTCAATTCCTGTGCTCTGACAGATGGACATATTTCCAATCCTGGATTGGAGATAACTATCACGAAAAGGAGCCAACAAAAACTTGGATTCATATATCCCTTTTCAACGCTGTATTTTCATCAATTGTTTTACCCAAGAAAAGGATGATTGGAAAACAGTGAACTGAGCTTAAAACTGAGCTCATATACATTCTGAGTGTTCTTTAGGAAAGACACTGAGAGGTGACCACAAACTTAGCTTATTTGAAGAAGCAACATCAGATGAAACTACTGGCCAAATACGAAAGAAATCAGCAGCCCTTCAACTAGGTTTCCTTTGTTCCTTTCAAAATTACTTTCTGGTTCCTGTCCTACCACCACCTCTTCATGTTCCATATTTATGCATTGACCGTGTAGGTGTTTGCTGAGGTGAACATTGACCTGGAACGGTTTGGAGATCATTTGAGAGATGAAATTGACTTCTTGGGCCGTGAGTGTGAGCTAAACCCTCCTAGATTATTGCATTTTGATGCCTGGGGACAGCGTGTGGACCAAGTGACCACCTGCCCAGCCTGGAAGAAGCTGAAAGACATCTCTGCTGAGGAGAGCCTTGTGGCTGAAGGTTATAAAAGGAGATATTCCTGTTGGAGGTACTGCTCTGGTTTATGGGAGCCATGCAAAGCCTTTGGACATCTCCTGCGTATTCTCAAATCCTGGCATGGGTTAATGTTTGGTGGGTTTTTTTGTTTAATAATAATAGTTGATTAAATCCACCAATTTAACTACCGTAGTAAAAAAGAAAAAAGAAAAGACATATAAAGACATGACTTCCTCATTCATTAAATGTACAATTTTAGTACCTTCAATAAATTATCAACCTCTCTGATATTTCAACAAAATATCTCTTCTTTTCTTATCTCTTATCTATAAACCAATTTTAAAGCCTTTCATTCAATCCTCATGAGCAAAAGTCCATTAAGAATGACCAGAAACAATAACATATATTTTAATCAAATAATCCAACCATATAGTCCTTTCTTTTCCATTTATGGATTTTGGTCTTTAGATCCTTAAAATCAGTAGTCCCCAGCCTTTTGGGCACCAGTTCCATGGAAAATAATATTTCTACGGACTGAGTGGGGGGGGAGTGGTTTCATACATTATCTAGATTTAACGCATGCACAGATGAATCTTTGCTCGCTTGCATAGCCCGGTTAGTAATGTACCACAGAAAGATACTGGTCCGTGTCCCTGGTTTGGGGACCCCAGCTTTAAATAGTGACTCTGTAAAGTGCTTAGAGAAGGCTGTAAAGCTAGAGTAGCCTCAGTCTGTTTTATCCAGTAAAACCTGTTCGTCGTCTATAATCTCTTTTAAATTCATTTTTATAACAGCAGACAATTTTTCACAGAGCACTCTGGTCTACTACCACAATAAACTGAATGGGTAATTGCTTTTTGGATATTAAGAACATTCAGCAGTTTCCAGAAGTGATTAAGAGAGGCTGTATGCAAAGCCTATCTCCTTGTGAAGCTGACAAACCATGGCTTGAGTAAAGATGGCAAGGCCTTGGCTCCCCGAGTTCTAAACCTATGGGAGTCTATTATGGTCTCCTGGTGGGGAGCTGCTACCTGTAATATGTGTGGGCGATCCCAGGTCCCCTCCTTGTTCAGAATTCCACCCAGGAATTCTGAGAAGCTGGTCCCTTCCTCATTTTGCTGCAGTCATGGGCTCTGCTCTCCATGGAGTCTTCAATTCACCCTTGCTTCAGAATAACAGAGTTGAAAGGGACCTTGGAGGTCTTCTATCCAACCCTCTGCTCAAGCAGGAGACCCTAGACCATTTCAGACAAGTGGGTGTCTAATCTCTTCTTAAAAACCTCAAGTGATGGAACATCCACAACTTCTGGAGGCAGGTCATTCCATGGATTAATTGTTCTCACGGTCAGGAAATTTCTCCTCAGTTCTAAGTTTCTTCTCTCCTTGATTAGTTTCCATCCGTTGCTTCTTGTCCTGCCTTCAGGTGCTTTGGAGAATAGCTTGACTCCCTCTTCTTTGTGACAGCCCCTCAGATACTGGAGGACTGCTATCATGTCACCTCTTGTCCTTCTTTTCATTAAACTAGACATCCCCAATTCTAGCAACCGTTCTTTATATGTTTTAGCCTCCAGCCCCCTAATCGCTTCCTCCGAAGTCCTTTTCCTGGTAGTGTTTCAAAACTGCCATAAAAGGGTTTTGGGGAGGCATGCCGAGTATACCTTCACATATTTCTCTTTTCGCAGTCGTGTTCATCAGATTGCCAAGATATATCTTTTTGTGTCCTCTTCTGCTCTCTATGGATGCCCTCTAGCCATGACTGATGGAGCAGCAAAAGTAATTGAGGTAAGCCTTTAATGTTGCAAAGGTGGAACTGCTGGACTAAGTGACTCTTATTTAAAACCTCCCAGTGTTCTTAGTAACATTTGTAAAAATATCCCTGTCCTATCCCCTACACCTCTGTCTTCATGCCAACAAATTGGAAAGTCCATCCTTTTGTACCTGTTGAATAGTCATAGCTCTTTCCATCAACACTATCAAAAGAATTCCCTGGAGATAATTGGATTCTGCCCTCCCCCATCCATCCCCACCCCAATAACACTCTGATCAACCAGGAGAGCAACTCAAAGCACTTAGAACAGTGGTGGCGAACCTATGGCACGGGTGCCAGAGGTGGCACTCAGAGCCCTCTCTGTGGGCACGCGTGCCGTTGCCCCAGTCCTAGGTCTTCAGCTGGGTTTTATAAAACCTTTTCGCTTTAGGCCTCCACCACCGTGTGCAAAAAAAAAAAAAAAGTTCAATCAATCAGTCAATTTCAACTTCTCGGGGAAAAAAAAGATCTTGCAAAGTTGGAATTGATTGATTGAACTTTGTAGTCCCACCCAGTCTGCCGTTACCACCGCAGCCACACCCACCCAATTGGCCATGCCCACCCAATGGGCCACACCCAGCCAATGGGCCACACCCACCCGGCATCCGACGATGCATAAGTGGGTTTTGGGTTGCAGTTTGGGCACTCAGTCTCTAAAAGGTTCGCCATCACTGACTTAGAAGGAAGCATTGGGGCACCTCTTGGTCTTTTAATTGGAAGCCCCTGGCTGAGGGGCTGCATGAGTTAATCAAACTCAGAGTCTCAAAGAGTCAAGAATTCCTCTCTGCTGAGTTCCATAAAGGCCTTGGTGATTCTCCTCCTCCTCCGAGTTTGCCTTAAGCCATGACCCTTGAGAGCTGTGGGTGTGATATCTCTGGAGAAGCTCCCAGCTACTTTTGCCATGACCCCGTTTGGCAGCTGCCCTGCTGTGCCAGGGTTCCTAACTATCTTGCTGCTTTTGATGTTAGATGCAAGCAGGTGCCCGTTGGCGATGAGGATGGTGACCACCATGTACTTTTATTCCTCTTGCTTGCATCATCCCATCTCTTGTAGGAATTGAAGGTAGGGCTGACAGTAGTTCATCTCTCCATCCATCTCGATACAGTATCTGCCTTTTGTCTCTTGCTTGCAACTCCAACAGTCTTTAGGTATCCCAAAACCCCTGGAAGAAGCCTATGCTCATTTGACCTCCTGTGACCCCAAGACATTCTGGACCTCTGGCCAATGGATGACCGAACGCAAAGGCGGCTCTGACGTTGGTAAGGGGGTCCAACAGGGAGACCCAATCCTTCCTTTCTAAAATATACTGTTTAGCAAATAAGACTTTATTTGGGCAGGCTTACCTATTCAACAGTCTCCATTCAAAGAAGTTAAATTTGTATGTTATGCCATTTTTCCAGGCATGTTTTGTGTTTTTTGCTATTTTTTGAATTTTGT